AAAAGTCTATTTGTAACCAACTGATACACTTTTTATAGCATGTAAAGAAGGATGTTGTATTTGTTTTAAATCAAAAATTAAAAAAAACTTTATTAAAAAAAAATCGCAAAAGATAATTGTACGATCAGAATAGAGCCAGAAGAGACTTTGAAAATCTTCTGATCTTCTGTTCAAGCAGAAAACTCTATACTATTTCAGCAAAGTGATTCTCCACTCTCTTCTTTAAAACTTGCAGTCATGAAGCACCCAGAACTTTTGATGACAAGCTTTCCACTAGTTAATTGTCCTCACTGTTCAGAGGTTTATAAAACAGTTGCCAAGCATCTGAATTGTGATCATGTAACAATGGGGATGCTGCAATGATTGTAAGTGTGAAAAACAGTCATAAGCCACTTTTTTCAGTGCTTTTGTTACTTCAAATAGTTACTAAACAAATAGTTGTAAATTGAAGACAACATGTATTGTCAATTCCATTTTATTCAAGCTTACTTGAGGATCGTTTTTTCCCCTTGATCATTCTTCCTTCATATTCAGTAATGGCCAGAAGAGCAATGGGATTTTCCAGTAAGCAGAGAATAACAATCTGATCATCATAGGCCTAAATTTAAAATTACCTCCTAAAGCAAAGCCCAGATTTCTTATTCTGGGTATAAGATCACAGCACAGAATGATGAAGTAAGCATAAACATTAAGAAATCAATCAATCAATCAATCAAATATTTATAATTGCTAATTTGCAAATTACAGTATAGCGAGGTGGAGGACAGGAGATGAATTAACTCCTATAAAAAGCAATTAGTGGCTGGATTAATATATTAGCCATCAAATTAAGTATTAGCTTTGCACTATATTATATCACATATAATGTTTCTGGCTGTGGTGGCGAGTTTATATAACAAACTATGTCAAAACAAAACAGTGTATGTTAGATCTCATTTTCTTTCATGAGCCAGACCAATGTGTCTCCATGAGCAAATATGTAGGGTGGATACCATAATTGTCATACACACTTACCTGGAAATGTAGATAAAGGAGAAACTGTCACTGGTCCACAAGGTACAGGTATAATAGCTTGAACAGATAAGTCAGCACTGAAATTTCCCAGAAGTGTGTATGTATGTGTTGAAATAGAATTGTTGGAAACAAATGACCCACTACCATCTCCAAAATTCCAGTGATAAGAAATAGCAGAATGGTTCAAATAGTGGCTGGGATCATGAATCCGAACATCAAACATAATGGGGATATCCTTGATGAAGATAAAGTCTGAAATATTGCGATTGTTCTTCTGTGATATATTCACATAGAAGGGGATTTGATCTGCATGTCAAGAATATCCAAAAAAAAGATGAAATTGTAGCTTTACACACAATAGATAACACTAAACTCATGCAGTAGCTCTTACTAGAGAAGTAATGATGTATCCAAGGACTGGGGTCTCATTTGCTTGCCTAATGTGTTGCATAAACCTTTCCCATCTCTCTACCCTTACACATAACATTTCAAGTGTTTTTTTTAGTTTTAAAAATCTAAAAAAACTGATAAAAAGCAGGAAGGAAGGTTGTGTAGAGAGCATTGGCTCTCTGATTGTGTAGACTTCTGCTAAGAATTCTGGAAGCTAAAATCAGCCCATAAGTAACATAAATAGTCCACACTTGATTAATTATAACTTAACATTGGGGACTCACCAGTTACAACATAAATAGCATTTGATGTGGTTACAGGTACAAATGAGCGATAACCTCTTCTGTAAACGGCCAACTCCATCATTTGTTTACCAACAGTGATATTTGTTGTGTTGATTGATATCATAACTGATGAACCTCCTTTTATTTGATAATATTGTCCTAAAAAAAGTAAAACATAAAAAAGAAGGCAGTACTATGGTTTTTTTTTGGGGGGGGGGGTTCTATATAATTGCTCTTTGTAAAAGAAAGAAATACCCTGTTTCCCTGAAAATAAGATCTCCCCGGATAATAAGGTCAATCAGGCTTTTGAGCGCATGTGCTAAAATACCCTCCCCCAATAAACCCTCCCCAAAAATATTGCAACACAACAGCAGTCATGAGGTGACTGTGCTCGTTGCCTCCTGCACTTCAAAAATAATAAGACCTCCTCATAAATAAGGCCAAGCACTTATTTTTTGGGGGGGTCAAAAGAAAATATGACCCTGTCTTATTTTCGGGGAAACACGGTATCTTACTCTATTAAAAGGGCAAAATGAATAAATATAATGCTTCCGAATAAATTGCATGTTTGTCAGTCCTTCTTATAAACAACCCAAAAGTTTGTACATGAGTCTGTCATTTTATGTCTAGTATCATAATTGTGCTCCTTTTCCATGTCTTGTACATTTGCACAAACCACTTGGCAACTCATAGCAAGAGTAAATGTTTCAACTAAACTAGGCTAACTCTGATTTGCAGTAACTCTTTTCTAGATTAACGAACTATTTATACACTTATATCCATACTCTTATATCTTTTACAGTTATATGGATAGTGCCATTATGTGGTTCACCACTAGATAATATAGTGTTTTTTTTTTAAAAAAAATCCCTGTCATGCCTGAGCATATCAGGTATATGCCATTCTATTTTATTCTCATTGGGGAGTCGACCTGAAGTTCTCCAGTTGGACAGACATGGGGGATGTGAGCTCTGAGAGTCTCACATGAACCCTGTCTGACAAACTGTCTCCAAGATCCGTTTTTTTATCAGAACCCCCCTTTGGGGGGTGAAGAAGAGGCAGTGTCTCATTAGACCCAGAGGGAGTGCAACAGATCCCTCGTAGGTCAGAGATTTGCCCTCTAAATTGGAGCCAGGGCAGCAGCATGGAAACATGCTGGCTCCAGTCCCGAGCAGCTGAACAAGAGCGTGCAAAGGTGAGATGAAAGCCTGATAAGATCTATTAACCCAGAGTTATAAATCAGAATTTGGAAGAGACAAAAAACCTTTTAGAGGTATATCTTTATACGAATCCCACCCCCCCATAACAAGCTCTTTTTTGGACGCAGTGCAAGATGGATTCAAATTTCCCACTATCCTCATAATGCTGTTACATACTTTTACAACATTAAGCACCCCTATTTTATCTCATGATTTTAACTATATATTATTAGGCATATTTCCACCTTTCCCCTCCATTTTTCCCCTCCTCTAATTACTTTACCAACTAATGTTTTTCTTGCTTGTAACCCGGCATAATCATTTCACCTTTCATTATTAATACATATCAGCTAACCTACTATCTTTATTCACCTTAATTAGTTTACCTTTGATTCTTTTTTGCTTTCAATCCTTTCTATACCATAAACACATATTACATTTCAGTGTTACAGTTAATTAAAGTTCACAATGGCATATGCTTTACAAACATTTTCCACCTTTCAATCTTAAATCCCAATGGCTGAACTTCTCCTTTATCTCTCTGCTATTTATATATCTTTTCTTCCTAATATTTTTAATTGCTTTTTGCTGTACCATTCATCGTGCACTCTTCAGGATTTCCTTTTGTTTCCTCAGTCTAGTTTCTCTTTTCCTTTTCTTATTATATTTTCCTGTTAATAAACTCTTTTCTTTCTTTTATCCTGCTGCCTGTCTGCTCCATTCTTTTCTTTTCTTTTCTTTTTTCTTTTTTATTGCAACATGTTCTTCCCTTTTCTTTGTGCCCCTATTAAGTCCAATAAGATCCTTTATCTGCTTATTAATTCCCTGACTCTCTTTTGCTTTTTCTGTCTTTGGGTTTTCATTTTCAATTCTTTCCATAATATCCAAGCTATCATCCTTTCTCAACCCAAATGATTCACGCATATTTGTCAACATTTCGTATATAAGATCCCACCCCTCCATAGTGCCTGACTTTTAATTTGCTATTTTCCTTCTTCAGGTCCTTTCCCAATTCTTTACATTTCAAACCTCCCCCTTCAAACAAAAAAGGAAGAGGGTTTCATTGTAAAATAAAGTAGTTAAACTGCTTGTGCTCAATTCAATTCCCTTCAAAATCAGCTCTTTCCTTTTCTTTTGTTCTTCAGAATGACCTCTTTCTGGTAGAAATGTAAATGCAAATGTAGCCTTTAACTCCAGGAAGACACAAAGTGCAAATTATAACAAAGGAGTAGGAGAGGGAGGGTGTTTCTTATTTAGATTTTAAAAAGTGTTAAAATCATGTTGAAAGCAATTCTCTTGGCCTTTGTTGTTAAACTCTGGCTGCCCACTCCTTCAGTTCCCAATTTCGTCTCTGCCTGGCAATGGTTGTTTTCTGGTAAGTGCCTCCACTTCTTCCCCCCCCCCCCCCCAATCAGATAGCTTAAGTTTTAAATGTAAACTTTAATCTTTAACTCCATGGGAGCACAGAATACAAGTTGTAGCAGAGCAGCGGGAGGGGGATATTCTTCTTCAGTTTTAAATTGAGTTGTTGTTGTTTCTCCCCCTCCCTCAGCTCTTTCTTAACGTTTCTGTGGGGTTTGAGGTTTATCAGTTATCAATTACCTGCTATTAATCCAAAATCTTTCCAGGTTTCAAGTTCAACTAGAGAGAAAGGTTTTTTTCTGTATTAATAAAATATTCAGTCCTTCTTTTAATTCCACCTCCTAAGCTGGATTCCATACTCTTTGGGCTGTAAATGTTTTAAACCACCATCTTTTTCCTTTCTCTTTGTTTTGCTATGCAGTTCCCAATTCCTCCATTTATGCTAGTTTACATTTGAAGTCTCTCCGAATCACAACTCCACTTTTATTCTATTGATGGGTTTTTAAATCTTCTCACCCAATCTTGTCGCTTTGTCCAGCTGTCACTCCTGTTCTCCTGCTTAGCCTGGTTGCCTCCAATTTTATGACAGACATTTTGTCATGTCTGCTTCCCCCATTGCCTGGTCATAAAGCTAATCTCTGGCTTTCTAGGAACCAGTTTCTTCCCTCTTGGCCATTCGAGATGCCACTCTTTTGTCACCTTCACTTGAAGAAGGATCTGGTCTAAAAGACCCCCAGACAATGGTTTGTCAGCCTGGATTCCACGGGTCCCTCAGGAGCCGTTTCCCAGTCTGTCTCGTTGCGGCGCTAACCAGAAGTCCGGAGCTATCTTGACCCCTTCCAGTCCGGCTTCAGACCTGGTTACAGCACAGAAACCGCTTTGGTCGCATTGACCGATGATCTCTGGAGAGCCAGGGA